GGTAATGTAGGCTGGCTCATTCACTGAGAATAGGTGTGATGGAATGGAATAAACAATTCCAGCAAACAACTTGGCAATCAACGTCAGGTCTTTAAAGTGTACATATTCTTTCATCCAGAAATTCTATTTCCAGAAAAATTTTTTTGAGAAATTTTTGCTACATATTACATGTGCTCACCAGTGAAATAGAGAGAGATAGAAAATGAGAAATCACTCCCCATACACACATGTGGAGTGTGGCCATACCACAATCTCTTCTTCTTCATTCTTCTCTTGGGATTCTGGGCACACACTCACACATGCCTGGTATGATTTTTAAGCTACTGGGTCTGGGACTTGAACTGCAGTCCACCATGTGGGAGTCCAGCACCTTAACCACTATGCCACTTGCTGGCTCCTCTAGAACATTATTCTAAAGAAACTAATTTAAAATGGGGCCAGTAGGTGGTGTGGTGGTTAAGGCAGTAGACTCCCACATGATCAATCATGGTTCAAGTCCCAGCTTTGGCAGTTTGAAATTCACACCAGGAGTGTGTGCATGAATGCCCAAAATTACAGGAGGAGAATAGAACAGAAGGAATTGAGGCATAGCTATAACCCCTGGAATGTTATTTCTCACTTTCCTCTCTTTCTGTCTCTCTCTAGCGGGTGAACACACACACACAACCTATGACAAAAACCTAAAAAATAATTAGAAATGCAAAAACTGGAAATAGCTTAAATGCCTATCAACACCATTAGTACAAAAAGTATATGGGGTCCAGCAGGTGACATGGTGGTTAAGGTGCTGGACACTCCCACATGGCTGACCATAGTTCCCAGACCTGGTGGCTTGCTTTCTCACTCCCCAACCCCTCTCTCTCTGGTCAAATTAAAATAAATGGATGAATAAATAAAATTTTAAAAAGTATTAATAAATTATACACTTATATCTCTATATTAGAATACCATGCAGCAAAGAAAAATTAGACTTACAAATTTGATGTAGCATATGAAATGCTTATAATCAGATGCTAAAAAAGACAATGAATGAAAACATTTTTAAACCCAATTTTATAACTATAACAAATGCTAGAAAAATATCATTGTAAGTTTCATCAGAATTGCATTCCATGACAGAAAATAAATTATACCTGCCTTTGCCCTAGCTGCTCTGTAATACTAACTTTACAAAGTCCCCAACCATCCAAGTGATTCTCATTGTTGTCATCTGGAGAACAGGGAACCTCAGGAGAACAAGCAGAGCCCCTCAATTACCAATTCTGACAACTCTCATTTTAGCCTGGGAATCCCCATGAAAACAGGCAGTCAACATGTGATTGGAGAAGAAATAGAAGTATGTTTCTATTAAAACCATGTTCCTTAAGTTGTCGCTCTGAATTTATATCCCTCTGGCCCCTGCCAAGTTGGCTCTTGGCTAAATTCTGTCCTGAAATTAGAGCATTCTTGTAGCCCCAAGAGATGCCTATGATGCCTAAAGATTGAAAACAGACCCTGAAACATGGGTTTGGGAATATATGGAGACCAAAGCGTTATTGGCCTATATAACCTGCCCCAGATAGCCTAACTTCCTTTTGTAGCTCTTATTCAGCTTTGTTGAGATGGAGGAGTTAATTGTTTGAATGATGATCCCATCACTTGAGAGGATAAGAAAGCTAGCTGCAGTGGGGGGCTAGCCAGATTGGGGTAAAGGAAAATGCTACCTATGACCAATGGGGTTTGACCTTTGGGTAGAAACAACTATGGGGTATATGTGCACGTGAATGTTAAATCTGATGAAAATAAGCAGCTATTGGGCACCCACTATTTGATGACTAAGGGATGAAGGCTTGAGCAAGAAGGATGTTGACTTAAATTGCTCATTTCTACTCCAAAGCAAGGATATAAATAGCCAAATTGATGGTAGAATAGGACAAATATTAAGAGCCTTAGAAAGTGCTATGTGTGTCTATGGACATTGCCTATATGATTCTACACTTAGAATAATAGAAAGAGCAGAAGTTTAACAGCCAGTCAGACTCAGCACAAATGCAAGTTTATCTATTTATCTTAGGCAAAGTATGACCTTTGAGTTTCCATTTCCTAAATTGTACAATGGGCTCAAACAGCCATTTCACAAAGGTGGTAGATGAAGATGAAATGAGATAGAGCTCATGAGCTCCTGGTCTACAGTGCTCTACCTCCTCTCCCTTTTTCTGTTAATCAGAGTTGAGACCCACTGACCCCACAGAAAACCCTGGGCAAGAACTCATGGGTCCCAAGAAGGAATGTCAGGAAGGACGACCAGAGTTTGCTGAGTTTTTGCCCCTTTCTGTCAGTTTTCAAAAGAATCTATTCCTGTCCAGTGACCTTGAGTGTACATATCTTTGGACTTAGCAAATGCTCTGTCAGATAGGTCAAATGCATTTAACTCATCTGGATTAGTTTCTGTCAGGCTGAGAAGCTAAGTTAGACCCACTCAGATTGGTAACTGAGGAGGGCCACTGAGATGTGACTTTACTGTTGAGCACCCTTCTACTCCCTGCCAGACCACAGAGCATATGAAAAGAGTAAAATGAATAACAAGCTCAGAAAATACGGCTTTTTCACACAGGGACCCTTGGCCTGTAGGCCCGAGCGAGGCAATCAAGCTTGGGGAATCTCTGCTGGGGTTATGATGGCTGGTTATTGGAATGCCCTGACTTCTGACAGAAGCTTCACAGAACACTGGCTGGTTCGTGTCTCTAAGCCTTTTTTCACTTTATTATGTATGTAAAGAGAAGCAAATTTTCAAGTCTATCTGTAAACAGAGGGAATGATTTACTTTGTGCTTACCCAATCCCCAACTAAGCAGAAATACCACTGTCCTCTTGCAGTCAGGCTTGGGAAGTTTAAACACAGTAGAACAGATTGATTATGAGAAGACTAGGGAGTAGACTATCCTTTGAAATAGCTGCTTCAATCTCTCATGACTCACTGCCATTGTTTCTTTATTTTTGAAGTGAGCACAGTACTCTCTACTCCACTAAACTGGTGTGGGCTAAATAACTTAGTGTATATGAAGAATCTGCCATATAGCAGGCAATAAATATTATATCCTTTCACAGCTCCCATCCCCTGAGATATTGTGTGAATCCTTTAATCAGGGTTAGGATTTCTCTTTTGCAAAACTAAACCTAGGGACCAGTAGGTGGTGTAATGGTTACGTCACTGGACTCTCACCAGTCAACCATGGCTTAAGTGCCAGTCCTGGTGGCTTAAGATTTACTTCAGGTGCATGTGCATGCCCAAGACCTCAAGAGGAGAATGGAAGAGAAGGGATTGCAGCATGGCCATCGCCTCAGGGAGGGGTGCGGTTGATTTCTTGCTTTCTGTCTCTTTGTCTCTCCAGCAAGTGTATGTACCCTATAGCAAAAATCACTCTCAAAAGACCCCATTAAAAAAAAACAAAAAACTAAGCCCAACTACATCTTTCTACCTCTCAAGGCTGATTTGAGAGGTTAAAGTGACCAAGAGGAATGAATGTGTTTTGTTAATGGAAAGCACTGAGGCGAAATAAAGCCTATTAAGATGACTCTTTTAATGTGGCAATGGCCCAGGAGAAGAGAGAAAAGTTTGTCTTTTTTAAAGGCTTATCCCTTCAATCACTCCTTAGATCTGAGGGCCACTTTAGAAAGTCCTGCCTTTGCTTGGACTTCTAGACTGATCAATTATCATCAAAGAGCTAGAGAAAAGATTCAGGCTCCAGTTGCTGTTGAAGTCAAACCATGTTGGCTACAAACAGTGCCCAAACGCTTTGAATGCCATATAGCCTCAAAGAAATAAAGGCTGGCAAAGCCTGACGCCAGCTACATGATTAACTGGACAAAACCTATACACTCTAAGCCGTGAGATCAAAGAGAATACTCTTTCCAACAAGTAAGCCCTCTTAGAGCATTGGAACATGATTCATCCTCACAAGCCACTTAGGAGTCAGGCAAGCAGACCATCCCCTGCCTGAGGAATTAGTTGCAGGTCTATCCCAGAGAGGAAAGTGATAGGGTCATTGTTAAGAACCTTCATAGAGGTATGATGTTCATCACCTAGGCCAAAATCTGAAGAACTGACCTCCTAAGTCTTCCCTGTTTATATAAAGCAGTGAGATCCATGAGGCCAGAAATGTCTCCAATTCAGCTGGCATCTCCAGTTTCTAGTAAAATGATTCTCACAGATGAGGTGCCCAGCAACCTAGTTGTCCATGCTTGTGTTAGATATAAAGTCTTCACTATTAACTCATTGCTTAGCCATAACTCACCTATTGAGATTTCTCTTCTCCTGCCTCCCTGCCAGGGAAGCGAAGAAAGGTAAATGAATGTATACAAACATGCTTGCAAAGCCTTCTTCTGAAATCATCAAAGAAGATGCTCCATTGTTTCTCTCTGATGAATTGGGAGGTGTTATGGATTAAACATTTGTGTTACCCCCTCAAATTAATATATTAAAGCCCTAACCCCCCAGTCGATGTTATTTAGAGGTGAAACCTTTGAGAGGCAATTATGGTTAGATGAAGCCACGAGAGTGAGATCCTGATATGATGGGATTAGTGCCCTTATAAGAAAAAAAAAAACGAGAAACAAAAAACACACCAAAGAACTTCTCCACCCCCACTCCTCCACAACTGTGTATACACAGGAGAAAAGGGCATGCGTGCACACAGGGAAAATACAGTGATCTTCCAACCTCAAAATAAAAGCTTCACACAGAGTGGCTCATGATGGCACCTTGATAGCCTTTCAATCTCTAGAACTGTGTGTGAGAAAATGCTTTGGTTATTTAAGTGTATATTTTGTTATGGCAGTTGGAGCTGACTAAGACTGGAGAGAAAGAGAAGAGTTCTTCCCTAGCATTTGGCACCATTATCTACCCAGTTGTCCAAGCCAGAAACCTGAGACTCATTCTTGATTTCTCCTTTGTATTCTATCTTCCTCACTTAATTACTCACAATGTCTTTTTTTTTTTTTTAAATCTGCAACCTGTCTTACCTTGTGTTAAGTTTTCTTCAGAGACTTCACTGAGACCTCTGCATCCCTGGGACCTTTGCACTAGTTCAGACTCCCAGTATTTCTCTCTTGTTGTCTCCCTACCTTTGGTCTTCCTGTCTCAGTTCAGCCTGTACATGAACATCAGAGTCAGCTTCACACAACTTGACCCGAAGCTTCCTTGCACAATGCCCTTCACTGGCCCCCATATACCTGACCCCTACGTTATGACGCTTAGCATTTTAGCTAGACATGCTCAAGAATTTAGATAACCTGCCTCATGGCTATCTCATAGCCTATCTCCTATTTCACCTCACCATGCATGCCTCCCCCATGCCCTGTCTCATCCCACAGGTGCAGTGGGCCATGAGCTCCCATACCTCCACCTCTTTACATTCCTAGGCTCATTTTTTGCATTACATTCTTCCACTTCCCCCACAAACCCCTCCTTTGTTCTCTAAACCTCTGTGTTACCTTTCCAGTGAAGCTTTCTCTCTCAGTGTCCCAATTCCTTCTTCTAGGGCTAGAGGCTTCTTCTGGGTTCCCATAGCAACCCCAGTTTATGACCATTCCGATGCTTATGATGAGTTATTTTGACTAGTTCCTTACTCATCTACCTCCTTAGTACCATGGGCTCCTTGAGGACAGGCCTCGTGTCTCATTCTCACTCTATCATCAAGCCTAGCCCAAAGCCTGGCTTGTAACTGATGTCTTAGCACTTACCTGTGGGATGCAGATACTTCATGAAGTTCTGAACCAAGCAGAGAAAAACCTGCTCTTTCTGTTTCATGGAATCTGACTCTTGTCCCCCCTCCTCGAGTCTCATTCACTCTTTGAGTCAGACAATACAGTCAAATGCTTAGTAGGAGCCAAGACAAAGAGAAATGGCATAGTGTAATGAGAAAATTGCTATATGAGACACCAGAACAACAAGTTTGTACTCCTAGCCAGGTTCCATATTAGCTGATTTTCCCTGAGCGATCACTTAACCTCTCTGAATTTCAGGTTTTCTGGTTGAAAAATGAGACATTGCAAAAGAACCAGTGGTTTCATTTCTGCCTATTTTTAAGAGTCTTCTGTAGTTAGGTATGGGCATTGATATTTTTAAAAACTTCCTGGGTGACTTAGTAGCCAAAGCTTAGTGCCACTCAGACAGAAGACAGACATAGCAACCTGTATCGGCTGGTGTGAGAATTCCCAACCTGACTAGTTTTCACTCAGCTAGTGTGAGGAGCAATTATCAGTACTGGTGTAGGCAACTAAAGAAGAGTTTCAAACATTCCCCATCTCTGAGCTCTCTCGAAGTATTTGCCATACATGTGATGCAGATGGATAGAAAGGAAGAAGCAAAGAATGAGTGCATTAACTCATTCACTGTGCCAGGCACTACACATAGTGTGTGATCTTGCTGAGTCACCAAAACAATCCTGTCAATGTCCTTTCCATGTTACAGGTGAGGAGATGGGAACTCAGCAAAGAATGATGTGCCAGGGGTTGCATGCTGGTAAGAAGAGGAGCTAAAGTTAGAGCTGGGTATTAGCTACAAATTTCATGCTTGCTGCATTATAATGTGCAGTGTAATGGCCACCTGAGGACTGGGTCCAGAACAGTGGCATACAGTTGGTGCTCAGTTATTGCAAGAAGTTCAGGAAACAACATTTACTGCACACTCACATGTGCTGTGTGTTGTGCTATGCATTTGTACTCTTCCCTCAACTAAGTTGATAGTGTTACCTGACTCTACAGAGAGTTGGAGAGGTTAAATAATCAGTCTTTCTGAACATGTTTCAGAATCCAGAAAGGAAAAAAAAGTTAATTCTTCCTAACTATTGGTAAAAGGTCAGACAGTAGGTGTGTGGCGGGTGTGGGAACCCAAACCCAGGTTTCTGTGGTTCCAAAGCTGATGTGCTAGACTAAGGACTTGGCCAGGCATGCCCTGAAGGGCACGGCCAGGCGTGTCCTGAAGGTCACTGCATTCCTGCTGATTGAAACTTCCTCTTTTTCTCCATGGTGAGATCTTTGTTGGAACAGACTACTGCTGATTTTCATGTTACTCCCATCTTCAGATCCTGGAATCTAGAGTCCTGTGTGCTTAGGAGAAAAGAGGTACATTGTTGGATGTAGCCCTGTGCCCTGGACAAGTTGTCCTTCCAATGATCATGTAGCCACAAATTGGAAGCCCAAGAAGGCATGCTTGGCTCAGCACAATCCTAAAACCAGGCAAAACCAGAGCCGAAATTCTCTCAGAAAGTAACTGAACGGAGAGCAGAGGTGGGAGTCACATTTGGAATAAGAATTGGCGGTGAACATGGCTTTCAAGCCCAAGCCTTAGAACTCTGGGGATCAGGAATCCACCTCAAGAAAGCCAGCATAGAAGACAAATGCCCTTCTGTCTGTCAGATGTTCATGACAGCCAGGATTGAGCAAGGCTACAAGCACCACAGGATGGGGGTGGTGGGGTGGTGGTGGTACTCTAGGAATCCAGAATAACCAAAGCTTGTGACATTAAACATAAGAGCCCTGATGTATAAGGCACAGCAGCTCAACTCTCCAAGTGAATGATTCATAGCATGGATGTGGGGTTGGCTCTGCTCTTCTATTTTCTTCTTCTTTCAAGTGGTTCCCAAGGAGACACCTTTTTTCCCCCCTAAATTGAAAGCAGGAGAAAAATATCAAAATTATCTTATTCTCAATTGTCTTGTAGTATTTTTTCCGACTTTACCATTGAGACATGTATTTTTATAAATAGCAACTTCCTTTGCTAGCAGAAGTGGCTGCTTTTATTTCTAATAATGATATTGGCATTTGCTGGAAGACACACAAATGTCGTGAACACTGCACCAGCTTTGGTGTTATGTGGTCTGAATTAAAGCCTGATGCTGTGCATAATGCTGAGTGATATCAGGCAAGTTCCTTTATCTCTCTGAGTCTCAGCCTCTTCACTTGCAGAATGGAGACAGCAATAGAAGCTAAAGCAGAATGAGCACTTTGATATCTCAAATCACTTTGAACATTAGAAGGAATTAAAACTCAGTCACGTAGCCTCATTACCAAACTATCCACCACACAGGAATAGTGTGTCAAAGCAACTACAGTGCTCTTGATGGTTTATGTGGCATTTTTATGTCAGAGATCTTTCATTATCACAACTGTTCAGTGAGGCAGATCCAGTAGGCATGATGATCCCCACTTTAAAATAAAACAATGATGCTCAGAGAGCTTGAGTGGATTTTCCCCCAGCCTACAAATGGAGGTAAAGGTCTGAACTCAGGTCATCACCACGATGCTACATACAGGTTGTGTCTCATAAGTTTCTTCTTTAATATGGACAGTAATGGTTTTCAACCAGGAGAAATTTTACCTCCCAGGGAACATTTGGCAGTGCCTGAAGTTAGTTTTAGTTTTAGTTCTCACAAGTGGGAGTAGGGATCTTGTTCTTAGTGTGTAGGCTGGGATGCTGCTAAACATTCCATGCACAAGTCAGTCCCTCACAACAAGGAATTATCTATACGTAAATGTCAACAGTGCCAAAGTTGAGACACTCTGATACTGAATACTGCACTAAGGCAAATTGCTTCAATTTTGCACATGATAAAGCTAAGATCTAGAGATTAAGTCATTTTTCCCAGTGTCACATAGATAGGGGATGATGAAGGAGGGATTTAAAGCCAGACTGAACCTACAGCTCACTTCTAAATCGCTAAGTTATGCTTTCTCAAAGGGATTCTATATTGGACCCAAGAGTCTAGGAACATACCTACATCCTTCAAATAGAGAACGTACTTGTGTTTGGCAAGGCTTTTATGTATGTCAGGGGTGGGAGTTTGACCACTCATCCAAAGAGATAATTCAACCCTAATCTAAACTAACTCTTCAGAATAGTTATCCCTAGAATATTTCAGCCCTTTATTTTTCTTATATCAAAGAGTACATGTATCTTACTCCAAAGGGATAAAATAGCATCTCCTCTGAAATGCCTGTATTCTTAGTTCTAAATTCTGAAAGAAATAAAAATGAAGGGCCAAAATGGGAATTGAGGAGAACAGGACAGAGGAGATGAGCCTGGCTCCCAGGAAGCATGTGTCCTTAGACTGATCTGGTTCCCAGGTGATGGAGCCTCTGTCTACCACTGAGGGTCATAGGATTTTCCTTCCATGTATTTATTTATTTATTTTTATTATGTGCATTTTTTTATACGTTCAATCACTGTATATCATTACCACCTGCAAAAGAAATTTTACCAGCATGAATACACTGGAGTAGAACAAGAATACCCATTTTCATCATTCTTATTCAGCATATGTTCTAGCCAGAGTAATTTTTCAGATAAAGATATTATCATACATGTTATCATCAACAGATAATTCTCTGTTTTTGTGTCCCTTAAATGTTTTGCTTTATTTACACCGGAAGGAATAGAAGTTTGTATGGACCCACCCATATCCCCTAACTGACCACAGAGAAGGTGCCCTCTGTCGCTTTCCCTCTATTGCTTCATATACACAGGTGAGAGGCATGCTTATGTACAGCACACTTACTTGGGCATGCCCCAACTTTTATGAAACTCCAATCCACTTTGCAGGTAAAGATATATGTAAGTATGGGCCAGCTCCAGGGTGTAGCAGTAATGCTCTATTCAAGAAAAGCTAGTTCCCACATCAGAACCACAGTTAGTCTCTACAGGTTGGTTTCCCGGAAACATGCTGGACATATGCATAAGTGTACAAAATCCCAACAGGCTGCAAAACCAGAGAAAGAGGATCATGGTATGACCAGGCCCTGTGAAAAATATTCTCTTATTCTCTCTCTCTCACACATACCCCCCCACACACACACACACATCTGTCTTTACCATGCATATGCGTGTACTCTATTATGATTAAAACTTACCATGTCATAATTGTCCTGCCTCAGCTTTCTAGGTAAGACTACAGGTGTATGTTACCACATCTGGCACTTTTTTTACATCGTGACTTGCTATGTTACTCAGGCCAGTCTCAAATTCATGATCCTCCTCCCCAGTGGCTGAGATTTCAGGTATATACCACCACATCTGACCTTCAAGTTAGAATGAGAATCCAGCCCAGGACTCCCGTCTGGTCTCAGCCTGTAAAGCACAGCATCTTAGCCATGTGTACCACTGTGTCTGGGCCTACTGTAATCTTTAATGAGCCAACTGCAGCATAAAAATGCATGGGTCTGTGAGTTCCATTCGGTCCTTAGACCAGGAACTGTAAATCACTGTCCTGTAGGTAAGGATACTTGGAGCAAGCTACTGAGGGAGCTCCTTTTCTAGATTTCAGAATCTGGAGAGTAGAGTCTGCCCATATGGCTCCAGCATCACACAGAGACATCTTACTACCTGTATCACCATGGCTGGGACTATTTTTACTTTTTTCAGGAATCTCCATACTGTTTTCCATAATGGCTATACTAATTTACATTTCCACCAACAATGTAAAAGAGTATTCCCTTTATGGCCTCATCAGAATTTGATTTTTATTTTTTGTTTTTA